TATTTGTGGAGATAAATGGGAAAAAGTGGTGTGGCCTGTTATCACTTCAGTTGGGGAAATGAGAAAATGGGATGACGTACTTCAGCGAGTGAAATGGGAGAGAAAAGGGTTGTGACAGGACATGGCCTTACACTGCATACTGCTTTGTTTGGTTCATAAGACCGAGATACTGACAGCCTTGTGATGCGAATAACTTTTGGCAGAAAGCACTGCGGCTAAGAGATCCCTTAGATAATGCTCAAGCTCCACGACCACCCCCACTTTACTACAGACTAAGCTGAGGACCCCTGGTGGCGCAGTTGGTTCGAACCCACCAACCCACCAGCTGCTCCAATCTTTCCTAAAGATTACAGCCTTGGAAACCCTATGGAGGCAGTTCTACTCTGTCCTATATGGTCGCTATGAGAGGGAATCTACTCGAAGGCAACGGGTTTTCGGTTTGGTTTAAGCTGAGGAAGGGAAGCTCTGAGAAAGTCGCCGATTGTTAAGCAAAGTGCAGGTTCCTAGATTTTTAATAGCCTGGAGTGATTCCCTCAACTTTACGGCAAGCGGTCAACGGTGACAAGAACAGCTACCAACCCTTTCCCCAATTCCCGCCCCCAAACCCGGCTTAGATGCTTGTGTACTCATTGCGCATGCGTTAACTTTCGTTTTATACACGGGCAGGGGGGGGTGCTGGTTCGCGTCAGTTCCGAGGGACGACCTGAGGGGGCGGGGCCGGGTTGTTTCCAAGGTGACGGAGCAGCGGCCTCTGTGGTGGATTGAGCGGGTCTGAGTGAGGTTCCCAGAGAGCTGCGCGCAGTCGGCTCGTCGGCGCTGTCATGGCGGGGCTGGTGAAGAAGGTGAGGCGAGTGGAGGTCACTGTTCATTTTTGGGCTCTGCGGGCAGTCAGCCCGTTAGCCCCTCTTCCTGCGGGTGGTGGACGTAACTAGCGTGGGCTCGGCGGTGCTCTTTGAGGCCTCGTTCTGCAGTGTCCTCAGGGGTGACCAGTTTAGTGGCTCCGCGCCGAGAGGCAGATAAAAGCTCCCAACGAGCGACACTGAGAGACTGGTAGCTGTCTGTAAACCAGTTTTAACTTTTTCTTAGCGTGGAGGATGCGTGGAAACCATAGTAATAGCATGAATCGTGTTTTGTTTTTGAACAGACTACTGGCCTTGTGGGACTGGCTGTATGTGAGAGTCCACACGAGGTATGTACCTCTTTTCTTTCTTAATTCCT